TTACCCAAGGTTTAACTCCAGGCTGGTGGTCAAAGTGCCTGCAAAACCTAGATGCCTGTTATAAGCAAAAGGCCACATGCTCATTGAAGGTCAGTGACCTTGTTTGACCTTAAAAAGACATAGTGACCAAAATTGTGCAAGACTGCTTTGAATTTTACATTCGCATAGGTGACAAAGGCTACATTAGGCAGCATATTCCTAAAAAATCGTTGGCCTGGGTCATTTAAGTTATGTGACTTATTATTACCTTTAGCAAGTCCATGAAAGATGAATAATGTGGTTCCTGTTACCAATAAATTGGAAATGAGCCTCAGAAACTGCCCTATACAGCAAGCCCTCGAGTAATGAAATTGGTTTTGAACTTTATCTGACTTTCATACCAAACCCTAGGCCAACGGAACTTATTAATTTAATTGTTGTGTCGCCTCAGAACGCATCTCAGAGATGAAGGGTTTCGTCTAGCACTCCGTTGTTAAATCAAATTGAGCAGTTCCCTAGAAATTGGCTTCGCGGAATCCATGGCCTGGCTTTGACCTGCCGTAGGTCAGCGGCCTTGGAAGGTTCATCTAGATTTTTGGTGCCAAAATGTTCCGCAATTCAAATCTGTACAGCTATGCAAAATGTAACGCGACTTCTCCTCACTGTGCAGAGACCGTTCTGGAAAATCCTTCAGGAGAGTCAAATTGACCCCCACCCGAGCGCATGTTTATTCTTAGATATGCACTATATCGTAGTAATGGCTGGAAATTACTCTTCGTTTATTTCTCCTGAATGTTGGTGACCTTTAAAAAACGTGGCCAGCTTAAAAAAAGAAAAATGGAGTAGGATCGGCAGGCAACTACGAATTTACTACTGATATTTGTTTCCATACAGTTTTGAAAACGAAATAACAATAAATCTATCTGTTCATTCTCCTGGTTATTGTACGAAGAATAAGGCTATCAATACCGTCTTTTTTATGTGCATAATGTTCCTCACAAATGCACTTAGCAACTTACGTTATTTCAATCACTTCTATATGAGTAAAATATTTCATGAGGGGGGGGGGGGATATGCCCCGCAGGCTAGAATGTAAATGCACTTCCGCCTGCAAACACAACAAGCTCGGATTGACAGTAATTCTGAGCCCATCACCACCCGTGTAGGCCACTCGTAAATCATTTATTTCCCAAGCAGCACGGAACAGGAGCTGCCGAAGCGCACTGGAGCCCGCCAATCTGCTCGGCAAACGCGCCGTTTCCAAACAGCGGCTCAAGGCGCGAGCCTTTCCGCTCCATCTGCGGGCCGCCGCCGCCGCTGCGATGCGCAGACCCCGGGACTGGTCGGTAGGCCGCGCAGGCCCGCGCAGGCCCGGGGCCGCTCGGCACCTCGGAGGCACAGCCCTTCCCGAGCTACCCACCCGATCCGTCGGACCCCTGGCCGAGCGGGGCTGGGGTCAGGGGGAGGGGAGGGGCTGTCCCCGCCTGTGCGGATATTGGGTCGCCAGCCGAGGATCACGGATGTCGTTGACCTCGCTGCCTGCGGTGTGATCCGAGGAGCCCCGCAGCTGGATGCAGGGTCGTCCGTAGCGCGGCCGGTCCGGGCGTCACGCGAAACTCCTGATGACGTCACAGGCGGGCGCCGACGGAGAGTCACGAGCACGGTGGGCTGGAGGTAACGAGACTTGCCCGGTGCCGTTACGATATCACCTCCTTACTCAGGCTTCACATACCACACTGGTCGCAGTGGTCGACTGGTTGCAGCGGCGTGCAAATGTCCAAAAGAGCGGGACAGCCAAATGCCCTTTAAAAGTCGACTCATTCCATCCATCTCCACGCGCAGGGACATAGGGCAAGGGACCATGCAACCCCAGAGTTAAGAGGCTTGCATTTACCAGATGCTGGGAACTTCAGCGGAAATTTGGTCAAAACAAAGCAAACTGAACATGAACTCCCTCCATCGTGAGCAAAATTCTGGCTACGTGTCTGTCCATGCGGCTGCTGTTTCATCTTCAGCTGAAAGCGTGACGTCATGGGCCTCTGGCCCCACAGGCACTTGTGCCTACTGCACTGTCCATGGACCGCTGCTTTCGCCTCGTGCTGATTCACCGTCGTCATGTTTGTTGGCCGCAGATGCCTCCGCTCGCCGGCGTCAGTCAACAACTCGCAGCAGGCGCTCCCCCTCGCGCGCCCCCCCCCCCCCCCCCCCTCCGCTCGCAGCCGCCGCCGACCGACTGGCGATACGGCGCGAAGCAGCTCGCACCTTACCCACGGTTCTCAAGAGGCCTGTGGCTAGGGCGCGAGGATGGAATGCGCAAGAATGGATCTCTTTAATTACCGGAGATGTAAGCGGCCGCCGTCCGCCGCGTCTCCGACGGCGCGGCTCCTTTGAAGTCCGGTGAGTCCGCGACCAGCCGCGATCGACGCGCCCCTGGCGGCGTCCCTGGAGTTACAGTGAGGTCACGGAGTCCACGGGCGACTCCGACCAGTGCTAAGCCGGGACATGCAGGGCCTTGATTTGTTTCCTTTAGAGCCGTCACCGAGAAGCGCAGTCCGCCGGGGCTTAGCCGCCCTCCCAGGTGTTGGCGCCGCGTCTAGGGAGCACGCGTGTCTGAATGTCTCGCTGATGTTCTTTTAATGCTGAGGCGAACGAGCCAACGGCGAGATTGGGGAAACCTAGCGGTCGTCCGCCACACGTGGGACCCGTCACGCGCATTCCAGAAGTCCAGCAAGAGCACATTTGTACGACGCAGTCAGCCCACGTATGCTCGCATCGTCAACGTCGAGGGAACTCCCACCCGATCGGAATCGAACGGAGGCGGCGAGCCGGCTGTGCTCCTCAGGCAGACAATAACGCGCCAGCAGCGAGCCGGCTGTTTCAGGCGTTAGACCAGTGGACCGGGTAATAGGCGCTCAGTCCGGCGGCAACGCCGACAAGTTGGCCGCACTTACGGAGGGGCTGGCGAGGCTGCCGACATGCTGAGACCATCGACACCTCAACGGGAGAAGACATTTCTCAATAATGGCGACAACCGAACCGCCTTCGAGACCAGGGAACTGACAACACGTGGCATCGGCGCCGGTTCCCTCACCTCATATTTCCACAATTCAGCGAACGTTGTTTTACTTCCGAATGATCAGAACAGCCGGACAGATCTGAAACTTCTCGTAGTCGACAAAACTAAAAAACATGGCCAGAAACATGCTCGCAACTACGTTTGACGACTACGTTTGAATATGCGGACGACTATTGCACGGTCCGTGACGCACATCACGTTGCAATTCTCATACACCACAGCTCCACCGAATGAATAAATCTGAGGCATTGACCGGGGCGACCCGTTTGGCCTAGCAAACGAGTTGAGCAGTGGCTCGCTGGCGCATTGGATATAGAAACTACTCTGACTGATTCATGCTCACTGGCGCGTGATCAATTTCATTTTGATTTGCAAGCCAAATGACCATTGACCGTCTACGAGGGCTTGCAGTGGCAGATCTACAGCCGGATCGACACCGGCCATCTAAGAACAGCTCTCCCACCTCCGGAGGCGTCGGCTGGGCCTGGAGTCGGCCTGCTCTGGGTCACACGGCGACCTGCTCCGGGGTCACACGGCGACCTGCTCCGGGGTCACACGGCGACCTGCCCCGGGGTCACTCGGCGACCTGCTCCGGGGTCACACAGCGACATACTCCGGGGTCACACGGCGACCCGCTCCGGGGTCACTCGGCGACCTGCTCCGGGGTCACACAGCGATCTGCTCCGGGGTCACACGGCGACCTGCTCCGGGGTCACGCATCAACCTGCTCCGGGGTCACACAGCGACCTACTCCGGGGTCACACGGCAACCTGATCGGGGGTCACACATCAACCTGCTCCGGGGTCACACATTGGGGGGGGGGGGGGCGAGCGGCTCGAGATTCCGCCTTCCCCGCCCCACTCAGTTGTGGAGGCTCGAGACCTTTGCCCCCCTCCCCCCACCCTTCTCAGCTGTGGAGGCTTGAGACCTCCACCTTACCCTACCCCTCTCTCATCGAACTTTGCAGCCAGTGGCTAAAAGGCATCTTCGGAATTTCTTCTATTACAAATTGTGAAAAAGCCCACAAGATGGTACGAATTTTGTGTGATGGACCATTTTCAGCTCAGATTCTTGGACATTGTCCAGCAATCTCGGCATTCCGTCTTATCGCATAATTCCCCATCCGGCAACTCGTTTCGTGCCTGGAAAATCGCGCATACAAACGTGCACGCATTCCCGGAGTTTCTCGCAAGGTTCCGTTGTTTCGGGCAATCAACTCGCGATCGTGACTACATTGCAGTCTAAATACAGAAAAAAATAGACTCGACAATACCATAGGCTTGACATGATTAGACTTGATGGCTAGACCCTACACGACAACTCGCCATGACTTTAGACTCGCTGCGACTAGACTCGGCATGACCCTAGTCACGGCATGCCTCTGGAGCGCAGTTGTCTAATAAAATATGAAATTCCTGACTCCAGCCGCATTCCCTGCCGGGATCGCCAATCAGCCAGGCGCTCGTGGTTCTGGGACGGAGGTGCAATCGTTTGTAGGTCCGGTGTCGGCTGCAGGCTGTGTATTCCTGCGACATCGACTTAGGGAACGAAGTCGGCCACAGGGCAAGCCGGTCATGACTTCATCACGTACGATCTTTTGGAATGCGGCCTCTATCCCACACGACATTTATCCTGCACAGCTTATATCCCGTCCGATCTTGTCAGGCTTATTGCATGCGTTGCGTGTTCACCCAATGTTAAGCCAAACGGAGTGTGTTCATTTCGTTCAAGTGTAATTGCCCTATGGAGCGCCATTTGCTACGCTCTTAAATGAAAGCGCTTGGGGGCACACCTGACCCCACCGTAGCATTGCCGAGCAATTCGCAATAACAGTAATTATCAGCTGTGCAATAATGAAGCAATTATCACCGCACACAGTTCAAATACTTCCCGTTGCCGAGAACGAGTGCAGTTCTGCTACTCCCGGACCACCAACAGCCACTGGTCCGATGCACGATATATTTGAACACCCGATAACTAAAAGCTGCCGGGCAGTCGTCCCGCCTCGGGCTGCACCAGCCAGGAAAGAGCGCCGGCCCACTGATCCGGCCCGGCAGTACGCCGTCCGTCCTGCGCCGGTACACCCCGGCCGCACCGGCCACACGCACGCCAGGCCAAGCCGGTCCAACTGACCAGCTCCGACAGCGGCGGTGACAGGGCAGACACGGCCCGGCGAGCTCCCACGGTCGCGGCTCCTCACGGCACATGGCACTCCCTGAAGCCAGTCTCACGAAGCAAACGATCAGCAGAACGCAATGAAATAAAACGCCTTTAGTCGTTCTGAATGGTGTGTGAAAAAAAAACAGTAGAAGGTGCTCACGGCGGGCTACGCGCAGCAACATACGAGGAAACAACCAGGGGCGTTTCAGCTACGCAGGAAGCACTGCAACATTTGCTTCTCGAAACTGGCTTCCGGTGATTGGCAAATAGCAACCGGCTTCTGCCAGGGCACCGTTCGCCCGGCATAAGAAAACTGAATGCGCGGCCTGCCAAACGGCGTCCCCTCGGGCAGAGCAGGCGGGGCAGGGAGGCATCCGAAGGCGCGCCCCAGTCCAACGTACACACGGCCGCCGCCCACGCCCGACCTCCACATCGGACCGCACTCGGCAAGTACAGATACGAACCCTTTCGCCGCACTGGAAAAGCCGACATTAAGCCACCCGAAAAACGGCCAACATGTGGGATCGCCTCTCCCCAAACATATCAAACGTGACGACGTCAGCACTCGAATATAGCGCAAACTCATGCCGAGGCTTAAGCTCAATCCACCGCAGAGAACAGCGTGCTGGCGATTAGTGCCGCGATGTTCGGTCACTCAATCCACTGAAGTGTGGTATTACAGTCTAGACATGGATGCGCACGAGTGCGGAGTTTTCAGGGGGTTCGCCGCCGCGCACCATACACTAACACAGCCCACGTCTGAGTGACAGGCAGCGCTCTTGAGGGTTAGGCCCGCCACCGTCCACCGCAGGGGCACGACTGCAGAACTCCCGACATGAGCCGGACGCCAGCCGCACCGGGCGACGAGCTTCAGCTGTCGTCGCCGCCCCACCGCCCGGCAGACTCGTCACCCGACCGCCGACACCGGGACTGAGCTATGGCTTCAACTGCCACCGGCCGCCGCACGGGGTAAACTGGCGGCGCGGCAAGCCAGGCCGGCACTGGGGGCGAGGGCATTCCCAGCTAAAGCCTGGGTGACTGCAGACTGGCTTAATTGGGGCCTTGCGAGCCGTAGCTCAGACGGTTCCGACGACCCCGCCGCTCGGCGGCAAGCGGCGGCGGCGGCGGACGGAGTGTGTCGGGGCGCCGCGGAACGACGCCCGCCGCACCGTCCAGACCACCAGACGCGCGCGCACCCCGACCGGCACGAAACACGGCGGCACATCGCGCAAGTGCCGGCACGCCCAGGCACTCGCCGCGCCCGCCCACAACTGGCCATCCCGGCAGCGCCGCGGCCGTTTGTACTACACACTCGCGCGCACTCCCCCAGCGGCGTCCAGCGCGCCCAGCGTCCCGCCGGAGATGGCCGCACCAGGAGGGAAAGAGCGGCGGCCGCCGACGGCCGGCCGCGGTCACCCGCACTACGTCGGACGACACGGACGCGGTCGTGCCCGGCGGGCGCGCGCGCCGGCCGTGTGCGGCGCAGATCTTGCTTCCGTTTGCACTGCGGTCAAGGCACGAACGGCGGCCCGACGCCGGGCGGCCGCCACGCGCCCCTGGAATGGGGGTATTGCCGATCACATATTACATCACAGTGGTGGCAGGCCGCGCCGCCGCTCAACACATGGAAATGGTCACGTTGATGCCGAGGTTGCCGTTGTCGGCGAACAGCTGCGCTATGCTCGTGTCGAACACGAGGCAGTCGGACTTCATGATGGCGCTGGACACGCCCTCGTGGATGGAGCGGGGGGTGGCCTCCCACGTCAGCCGCCGCCGGTGCCCGTTCAGCTCCAGCCTGCCGGACCGGGGACACAGAGTCAGATGTGGCTGGCCACAGACGACGGCCGTTACATGGGGCGGCGAGCGCCGCCGCGCCAGAACTGCCACAATACTCCGTGGACCCGGCGCTGGTACATGACAGCGTGCCGGGCAATCAGCTCGCGATCATGACTCCGGCACAGCTTAAACGCAAGGCAAGTAGTTGCACTGCTTAAAAGTGCGCACATTCAAAATCATTAAACTTTCCGAGAATGATTATATTGTGACTGCGGTACAGCTTAAACGCAGGGCAAATGAAGCACATTGCTCTGAAGTGCATACATTCAGTCACCAAACTTTCCGAGACTGATAATATAAAGAGCCGTCAGGCATTGGTGCGTAACCTGACTCGGCTTCCGCTTCGAGAAGCCGCAAATGTATTCCAATGACATCAGGTTTGGCTTTGACACTGAACCATTTCCCACGGCTTTTCAACTTCGGCTTCGGTCTTGTGCCATTGTTAACATCTGACTCGCTTCGGGCTTGACCACTCCATGAATAATTGCTACTCCTTTGGCTTAATATAACCTTAAACCGCTGGCTTTGGCCTTATCACGGGGGCTTCTCTTACATCAGTTTTGACTTCACAGCACAAACAAAACACAATCTTGCTCGTCCAGGCGTCCCCATGCACCACACAACGTTTCCAGGATGTGTCGCACACACGGCCCGAAGCCAAAAACCAGGCAAAAACCAGGCTACTTTCAGGACCAATAACACCTGATGACAGCGAGAGCAATCACTGTGCGAAACAATGCGGCCATACTAACACGCAGTACCAGGAGAATGGTCGGAAACAACTTATTCACCTGCACCGCTCACACCTCGCATCAATCACTAAAGAGACTTAGTCATTGGCCTCCGAATTTCACATCACCCCCCCCCCCCTAATATTTTGGGGTCATAAGACAGTTTTACCAAACGCGCGCAGATAGTCTGGTTCTCGCAAAACAACGTGTCTATATATTCGGTCTCGGCCTCAGCCCAATGATTTTAACCCCAGGGATCCAGCTTTGACCTCGCGTCTCGCGAAATTCGGAGGCCAATGACTTCGGCTTCAGCTTCGCGTGTACAAAGTTCGAAGCCACTGATATCGTATTCTGCTTCATGTTCGCAAAGTATATTAACACAAAGCCATTGGCTTGAGCTACAGGTTCGCAGTTTCAAACTTCGAAGCCACCGGCTTCGGCTTCAACTTCAGCCCTGGGCGTCATATCATTGCCTCAACTTTAAATTCAGCTCTGCAGTCAGAAGTCCGGTTTCGTCCCCGTACCTAATGGCTTTGCACAGATATTTCTTCTGGCACCATTCTTCTACACACCTGCGACTTAATTCGATTGCACTATCGAGGGCGGAGAAACCCAGATCCCGCAGGAACTTCGATGGCGAGTTCTACATGTCTGGATTCGTTTTCAGGATCCACGCTGTATGTTCACAGAAAAATGTCTGATATACTGGACAACGACTGGCGCAACACCATTGGTAGTCGTTTCAATACAGCATGAAGGTAGATGAAAGCCCAGAAGTGGGTCTCCCATGCCGTCGAGCCAGGAGTTGGCGGGAGGGGGTGGGGAGGGGGGGGGGAGATAACCGATCACGCCCCTCACCAAGGTGGGCGTGAGGTGGGGCTGTCACGCCCCTCACCCAGGTGGGTGTAAAGTTGGCGCGCCACGCCCCTCACCTAGGTGGGCGAGACCGACGGGAAGGTCACCGAGCACGTGCCCTCCGCGCTCACACAAAGTAGTCCATTACACGCTCTCCCGGAGCCATGGAAAGACATTTCCAGGAATGAAATGGGCTATCGATTTCACAATACGCTTCCGACACGCCGCACCCTGATTCGGTTTCAAACCGGACGACTTCCCAGAGTCGGCCGCCGCGTGCTGCTCATGCTGACACCGGTCAGCGCGCGCCGCGCCCTAACGAACGCTCCACGAAGCCGGAAGTTAGCCGCTGACTTCGTTACGAGTGATTGCAGCGGGCCATGGACTGCGGATGACGAGTTTGGAGGCAGGTGCGGGGCAGCCCGCTCCTTCGACTTCAGAGCGCGGCCGTCGGCAGCCACCTGTCACCAGTGACCATCCCACGCTCGGGTCGATAACGGCTACCAGGCCGTCCCCGTGGCGAGAAAGCGCCCGTTGGCTGTACCCAGACGGCAGCGGCTCGGCTGGGGATTTCCCAACCCCGCTTACGGCCGCTCCTGCCATACACGTGACGCCACGCCCACCTGTAGATCTCCGCCGGCAGCGGTCCGGCTGGGACCCCCCCCCCCCCCTCCCCCCTTTTATACTCCGCTTGCAGCCGCTCCTGCCACACACGTGACGCCACGCCCACCTGTAGATCCCCCGCCGGCAGCGGTCCGGCTGGGACCCCCCCCCCTCCCCCCTTTTATACCCCGCTTACAGCCGCTCCTGCCACACACGTGACGCCACGCCCACCTGTAGATCTCCCGCCGGCAGCGGTCCGGCTGCCCCCCCCCCCCCCTTTTGTATTCCGCTTGCAGTCGCTCCTGCCACACACGTGACGCCACGCCCACCTGTAGGCGAAGCTCTCGGCCTGCTTGCGCGACCCTATGAGCTGAACGATGGCGAAGAACTGCTGGTGGCCGTCGTACTTCTCCTGCTTCTCCAGCACCAGCATGAAGTGGTGGTTGTAGCAGGACTGCATCATCACCCAGTCGACGGCACCGGGCAAGTTGATGTCGGTGGCCAGGAAGACGATGTCTTCACCTGAGACAGCGCGATAACGATCAAACACGCAATGAAGTTGATCGTTGATACATAACCACTCAAAAACTAAAACGAATAGGGTAAACAATAACAAATACAAGCTTGTCTGACACGAACAGAACGAGGTGTTTTGAGCACGACACCCCGAGCATTTTGAGTACGATAGGGCAACAAAGAACTGGATGCCGCGCAGACCAGGTTAGCCGGCCCTGACCTGCGCGCGGCATGCTGTGGAGTTCGGCCCCACAGCTTTACCAATCCGGCATGGGCTTCGATGAACGGCAGAAGAGCATGACGAGACGCCGACGCCTGGCACACCCAACAGAGTGTATGCACAAAGCACACTTCAAATGCCCGAGCCTCAGCGCGCGTTCAAGCACGGACCCATGACCTAGCGGCAGAAAAGCACCAGGATCCGGCAGCAGGAACCAGCAGCCGGAGGCCAGATACCTTCGCTGGTAACAGATAGCGATACACATAGATTGCAAGACCTGCCCCACGCGACAGGCTTGCGCCGATAATTAACCGCTGCCGCGAGCAGCGACGATCCGCGCCGCTGATAAATGTCGTTCTTGCCCTCCCCGCCGCGCTCGTGTTTCCCGGCGATAGATCTGCGATCAATGCGACCAGGAGAACCGCACGGCTGACGCGGAACACACCGAGCCGGCCAGCGCTCTGCGGCGAAACTCACCCTGCAGAGTGGTGATGCTCTTGTGCGCCATGGTCAGGTGGTTCATCACCTGGTCCAGACTGCCCTGCCACTTGCAGCTGGCGCCGGGGCACGGACATTGGTACGGGCGGCACTCGCACGTCTCCTCGTGCTCGGCCTTCTCTGTGTGCAGCAGCAGCACCGAACAGCCCGACGACACGTACTTGCAGGGAAACATCACCGTCGTCGCCACCTTCTCCATCGCCAGGTTGCGGATGTTGCCTGCGGGACAGTGGCGACTTTGGAGGCGGTGGGGAGGTGCACGGCGACGCAGGACTCCAGTCAGGTACCCATGAGCAACGGAGGAGGCGTCGACCACCACGCGGCGCGACAGTCGTGAGTGGCGCGGGGATAGCAGTGCGCCTCTGAACGAGACACTGACCGCCAGGCATTTCAGGCATTCATATACCACAGTTTACACGAAGGAGCACCGTCGCTGATGATGGCGCGGGGGCGGCGCCGCCCGGAACGTCAGCGAGCCCGCCAGCGCGGCGGCGGCCGCGGGTAGCCGCGTGGCTGCTCACCGAGCGTGCCGCGGCAGGTCGGACAGCAGGTGAGCTTGGAGCGGCATGACGAGCACACCAGGTGGCCGCTCTGACACTGCAGGATCGGTGGCAGCACGTAGTCGTAGCACACCGGACACTCAAACAGCGACGCCAGCTCGTTGTTGGAGCCGGCGCCACTGGGGCTGGCGGCCACCGCCGCCGAGGTGGTGCCAGTCACCGGCAGCGCCGCGCGACCCAGTTTGCGGTCGGCGCCGCCAGCCGTTGTGCCAACGTAAGGCAGCTTTCCGGACATAGCCTGCAAGACGGGTGAAAGGTCAGCACCGCACATCGCACTTAACTTCCAGACACAGCAGTGGGCAACCAGAGGCAAACGCGTGACAAGTACACGGAAGTGAACATAAAAATGGAAACTGGGGCCGCGATTTCCACCTTCAGAACAGGGCAGCTTGGTCTCTGGATCTGGCTTGAGCTGTGATATGCTGCATGAACAGTCACCCTCATGTGCAAGTCGCGACGATTTATGTCGACGCGCGCCTCGCTGTACCCCGATTCGCACGTTCAGGTCTAGCTTAAAATAGGATGGAGGCTGCATTTCCGCTTCTTACGCGCCGTGCATACAAAGATCTGCCATCACATAACCAAATCTCCGCAATTGTGTACCACTAAATGGCCCCCACAAGCTTAAGTTCTCTAAAAAAACTGGAAGGAAATTAAAAAGTGGCAAAACATGGTGCACACCACATGAGCCAGTATATTCAAAATATACATAGCAAACAGCATCGCATATAACTTGTTCCAGTGACCTAGCATAACTGAGTTGAGGTCAAGTGTTGGGATCTGGATCAGGTGAACGGCAAGTACAAAGCTGGGTTCCTGGCACCCTGTACTCTGACCCGTCATTGAATTGTGATCCAGTGGTATGACAACACCAAGATAATGAGAGTGCACATTAATAGGTTGTGCAATATTGCACATTTGCTTTGATAAACTGATTACTGGTAGAGAACAGCATCACTAATCAGGCTTGTGAAATGGTTCTGGCAATACTTACAATGTACTGACCTTACACCTACAAAGACCAAACATCCACAATGTTGTCAAGAACATCACCAGAAGTGTCTGTTATCACTTCAGAGCCACTTTGTATACTTGCATATCTTCTTGATATCACTCCTGAACAACATAAGCATTGTTCTGGTCACCCTTTCAATGTGAACTAAGTCTTACATCTACCTTTGTGACCAGCTCTGACCATTCACTGGATGTACAATTTAAGCCCTGATGATACTTAACTCACAGCTTTTGAAGGCCCTTGTAATGCTGCTTTCCCCAATGACATGGCTGGTTCAGGGTTTGATATAGCCACATATACCAATGTGACAATAGCCCTCAGCCCTTCAACCTTTTAATCTCAGATGACGTGATGGGTGTTCTGTGCTGACATGCATTTGAAATGCAATTTTCCACATCCAATTTGAATTTACTACTTTTATTAATGTATAATTTTTCACTGCACTAATTTTATTTGTCAAAGATCATAGTAGCCATTGCCCAGTTCTAACAATGACATAAACCTTTGCTATATGTTAAGAAATGGCTTGAACTTAAGACTTCTACCAAAAGCATTGTCAGCTGCATTCTATCTTCAAAATTAGCTTATCTAGAACTCTCCTATCCTTATATATACATTTATATATATATATATGTACATATATATGCATTACTAAGTATGTAATTTCATACAGAGGCTCACTATCTCAACTAATTCTCCACTCACATGTTCAGGCCTTTACTTTGTTGAAGCATTCATTTATTAATACTTTTTTGGTCATTAACTTTTGCTGAGTTAGAACACAGTTCATTGCTCACAAAACACATTGGCCAAGCAAAATCTTGTTAATGGTAATGCGTAATAGCTATATTTGAGATGATAGCAGGAGACCAGATACAATGAAATAAGAAAGCATAATAAGAAAGCAACCATGTCATAAATTCCATGAAATTAGGCTTGGCAGTTACATGAAATGAGGATTAGGATTAGAATCTAATCCTGCAATTGGAAGAGACTTCACCATAACCTTCAGAGGGACAGCTGGAATAGATTTGTACACTGCAGGATTCCTTCCAGTTACATTGAGATACACAATTCTTTTAAGGCTATGGCATTAATAAATGTCCATATCATGTACACAATATGTATAATGAATATCCAATGAGCTAAACTGACAAAATCAGAATCTCAGCCCTCTCATGTAACTCCCATGAAAGAAACATGCAGAGCTGCATGCACCTCCACCACCATACACTACAAGCTACAGGAGACAAGTATGCATTTAATGGGGAGCTTCAAGCTCCATAAGCACACAACTACACACATATCTACTCATTAACAGCTTCTGTATCCTACAACCTACAATCATACTGTTAGGTCACACCAATAACAAAAAGCTTAGAAACTCACAGAAAACAGTAACTGCCTCTAGCTTGTCCAAATGCTGTCTTCAGAAGTTCACAGGTTCTCAGCCAGTCTTTTATGTTCTACATAAAAACTGTGAAATACCTATGTGTGGACCTATTTGATCATCCCTGAGCAGCTACAACTTTTGCTTGCATAAAGATAGCGTGAAGCAGCAGAGTCTCTGAAATATGCCACGGCAACACCCTCCCCCTCTCCAACATCATAACCGTATATCACAAACGTTCAACAGCAATAGCCACATGCCCGCGACCTCAAAAGCAACGCACACCATAAGTGACACCACGCATCACACCACAACGCATACAGAGCACAGATAATTCGTAGACAATACTGGTGCAGCAGCTGGCGAATGCTAGACATGAACGCCGCAGCTGAATTGTATTACCATCCTCTGCATATGTTTTAAACGATCGGTCTTAGCACACAAGTAATGGAGACGTGGCATTCTGTGACCACTTAAGGACAAAATGCACGAATTAATTGATATTAACAACACAGAGCAACTACAACTGCGGGTAAACAATGACGCATCTTTCATGCTGAGACTGACTACCGACTTTTAACGTTGGAACTTGAGCAATCTCAAATGTGAGCATCTGCAGCAGGTTGCGCGGGCAGAGCCCTGGCAAGCTTGGGAGGGGGGGGGGGAGGGGCGTAGGGCCGACAAAGGGTCCCCTTATAGTGAAAAGGCCCTACCTAAAAAATCGCCAGTTATGACCCATTTAATTAATGAGGACATACCTTTCATTGGTATTGTTCACTTTCCTTCAATAACTGGAATAGAGCCAGAAGCTACCGTGAAAAAAAATCTGACTGATTTTTATGGCCAATAAACTGAAGCCATCATTACGCTGAACGAATACATGGAATAAATCGTCAGTGCTCTCCAACAATGATCCAGGGCCTGGGGAGGAGCCAGAGCCTTGGCAAGGATGCACAGGGATGACAAAGAGCCCCTGATATTAAAAGGCCGCCCTAAAAACAAGTCACCGGATATGGGCCATTCGTTTATGATGGTATGCTTTTCTTTCAAACACTTACAATACACGCCAATGCCCACGCACGCACGCGCACGCGCACGCACGCGCGTATATATATATATATATATATATATATATATATATATATGTGTGTGTGTCTGTGTGTGTGTGTGTGTGTGTGTGTTGTGTGTGTGTCTGTGTGTGTGTATATTACAAAATTTTCCCTTCTAAAGCTTGAATATAGAAGAGACGCTACCGTGAAATAACTTCTGTCTAAAGTTTATAGTAAATGAGCTGAACCAATCATGGGTTAAATGGCTGCATGAAAACATGTCTGGTGCTCTTTATTTACAGTGGTCTAGTTTACCCTTTGAAGCCGATAGAACTCAGACACTTTGTCAGAACTTTTATCCGGGTTGTTCTGAGCTATCAAGGATTACGTAAATGTAGACTGAAGACCAAAATAGGTCAACAGTTTGGATCAATATGGTAAAGCCATGTTGTCTGGGTATGTTGAACATTCAGTCAGAATCGGTTAGTAGTACAAATTATGTCGCGTGGTTTTAACCGTCCACGCTCGCATATCTTAGGGCCAAAAATTTCGAGGCCAGGCGTTGCAGTCGCCTTAGGCCGCGCAGCGTCGGTCCCTGAGGCGAACACTAAGCCGTGGGCCAATAGGTGGACGAAAATGATAACGCACTTGAAAGAAGTGCGTTTGAGCACTTTTGGAAAGGAAATCGTACATTCAGAGGCATCCCGAGCGTTCATATGAACCGTGGGTTTTTAGATGAATGACGATAAAGTATTAGTCTTTACAGCACCTCGAAGTGCTTGTAAGACCGCAGCAACCGCGAGACTCGTATCTCGTGTGGAGCTGGAAGAATGGACGTAAAAGGTCTTTTTTCGTGTTGTTAACTAGTTAATCTGTCAGGGAAACAAACTCAAAGTTTAAAAAAAGATTCGCCCAATGTAATCTTTTCAACTGTACGAATTCAGGTTGAAAGACATTCAGACACGTGATTTTCCGATGGCCGCTGTGCGCGCATGGCAACCCGCCACCTGACGTTACTTGCAGTGGCCAACGCTATTCGGTTTTACGAAAACTACGACCCAGGTCATCGCTATTCTTTGCTCCCTGAGATTAACGGGCGGGTCATTGGGGCTTCATGGCCACCTCAGCTGCTGGAGCTATATGGCATGACTTACCTGGTCACCCTGACGGGAAGGGCGGGCAAGCGCGGGGAATCGACCCCTTGCATGTAGTTTCCTGGACGCGCAGTGGTTAACACGGGTGCGTGTAACTACTACACTTTCGGCACCCAGCGCTCAGGCTCAAACCTTTCGATACTATTTGTTTCCATTAGTCGATTCTGGCAAAAGAATGACACATCTCAGCCAAACTAGGATGGCCTAGGGGTTTGAGCGTTGAACTCACTTCGACCCACTCCATTCAAACCCTAATGAGGTCTCTTATTCTTTCCAGTAAACGGGTTCCCTTGAGTGCAGCACGACGGGACACATTGTTCCCGGTCAAGAGCTGAGGGGCTTTCTGTCCCACCGCAGTGTGCCTTCCGGCCGTCGTTTCGGCCGCACGGGGCGGGCAAATTACCTTGCACCGATCCGGAGGCCCAGGGGTGGTAAAGTATACTTTTGGTCGTCGACAAAATTTCTGGACGAAAAATTGTGCTCCAGTGGTATATGCATATGATATGAAAGAATGGCTGTTAATTCCATGCTCAGAAGCGCCATCAGTAATCATCCTATCACTGAAGTCTCTTTCAATCACTGCAAACTTTTAATATCACGCACACAACCGAAACGTTCATCATACACTGTTCCTCAACAAATGTCAGGAAAACTGCTGCTGTTTGGAAAGCAGGCGCACGTGCCCTAGACTATTGAGATAGCCCAGTCGCAAGAGTAGTTATCTTCCACCTTCGGGACTTGCCGGGGCCTCACGTTCAAACTCGATCTACAGATGGATTTGCTTTCCTCGACCGCAAAAACAAACAAAAACGGAGGACCTCGACAGCCAGGGCAGCAGAATGCATGACAGATTTCGAATCAGTGGAAAGCGGCACTGGGAATGACATCAAAGGGGGGGGGAGGGGGGGGGGGGCTCTACGAAGCCAGCCTCTTATGAAAATCACTTGTGCGCTTCGGGTCCATCTCAATCGTCATCAAGCTATCCACCATACCTTAGGCATGCCCCAAGCCCGGCGCGGCATGTTTTGACTGGTGGGTGCCTCTTGCCATGCCCCAACAACTGCATCGAAATTTGCCAATAACCTCTTATCAGGCGGATAGCTCTTTCTGAACAAGTTACTCGCCCTGCAGGA